CTGAACCATGGCATTGAGCCCCTTCATCTGTTTTAATGTAATGAAACTCTATTTCAAAGCATTGTTAAGAAAATGTAACAAGAAATGTGAATGAATACTTGCTACTAAAACATGTTTGAATGCTCCGAAATCATAAACTGTTTTTCCAGAATTTTCTTGATGTTCTTGCTTGATATTTCTTTCAGGTAAAGTTGAGAATAAGTTTTAAGTCTTGCCCTCCAAGTTCTTTTGGGATTTTGATTTGAAATTTTAAAGTGTGTGGAATAAAATATAAATCAACTAGCAAGATTTGACATCTTTGTATATTTAATCTTTGGATTTGGGCTCAGTATCAATCTTTTCTTGACAAGATTATTATTTGATATTGTTTGTTTCACCTTTTATATTATTTTTGGAATTGTGGCTAGGATCTCCTTTCCTTTTTTGTATTGGTTATTGATAGTGTTTAGGAAATCTATTGATTTTTTTTTTTCTATTTCTGTTTTCTTTCTGCTTACTTTTCTGGTAGATTCTGATAGTTATTAGTGGAGTCTCTTGAATTTTCTTTTTTTGTTATAGAGAGAGATTCTTTGCGTGTGTGCTCACTGGAGAGACAGAAAGGGAAAAATCACCCTCCAGGGATATGGCAATGCTGTAATCCCTTGTCCTCCATTCTCATTTTGGGATTTTGGGCATGCATGCACATGGGCCCAGTGTGAATTTTAAGCTGCTGGGTCCAGGACTTAAACCGCAGTTGACTACATGGGAGTCCAGTGATGTAACCATTACACCATCTCCTGGTTCCTCTCTGGGATTTTCTAATATATAATGATAATCCCTCACAGGTATTAGGTTTTCTCTGTTTCTTTTCCATTAGTTCTATTTATAATTTCTTTTATTTTTCTCCTTTTTAATTTGTCAGAGAGTGCATGCACTTGCCAGAGACAGAGGCAGAGAGAGACAGAGAGAGAGAACACCCCCCAGTGAGGCATGATCACTCTGTAATACCTTCTCCATTTCTTCACGCTGTTGAGATCTGGGGTATGCGCGTACACATACATGGTATGCTTTTCAAGCTGCGTGGGCCTGGACTTCAGCTGTGTAGCCAGCCATGTGGGATCCAGCTGGCTTAACCACAAGGCCACAGAGAGGCCCGCATCTCCTTATTTTCTTACTGCATTGCTTTAGAATCTCTAGCACTGCCTATAGTGACAATAGTTCGACTTGTTTCATTTTCTATTTTAATGGCTCTGTGGGCTATAGAGAATACAAGTTAAGTTTGGTTTAATGTATTTTTCTTCTCTAGTGTAGGTTTTTTTTTTTTTTCTTTTTAAGATTTTTGTTATAGGGCGTGTGCACTCACTGGAAAGGAAAGAGACAGAAAGATACAGAGAGAGGGAAAGTGAGAATCACCTCCTGGGGGAATGGCCATACAGCAGTCCCTTCTCCCTTCTCTTCTTGGGATTTTGGGCATACATGCACACAGGCCTGGCGTGATTTTCATGCTGCTGAGTCCAGGACTCGAACCACAGTCGACCATGTTGGAGTCCATTGCCTTAGCCATTATGCTACTTGCTGGGTCCAGAGTAGGGCTTTAGATGTTATATATTAGAGTAAAAACAGTTCATGTTTATTGTCTCTAAAACAAAATTTGTCAGCTATGGAAAACTTTTTCTTGTCTATTTAAAAAATTGTGGTCATTTTATAGTTCATTGCTGCTACTATTTAAAAAATACTGTAGACCCTGTAGTTTATAAAAAGTATAAATGTATTGCTTACACTTGTTAAGGCTAGGAAGGTCAAGATCAAGGCACTGGTAGATTTGATGTCTTGTGAGAGCTTTGTCTTTGATTCCATCCTGGTGCTTTAAGTGCTGCTTATTCTGGAAGGGACCAACAATGTCTTTCCATGGATGGAAGGGACTGAGAGGGCTAGCTAGTTCCTAGAGGCCCCATTAATTGATGACTAACCATTACACTGATGATTAACCTTCAACATATTAATTGGATAAGAGTTGGCACATTCAGACCACAGCAGCACTAAAGTGGACATAACATCAAATTTACCATTTTAACCATTTATTTTTTTAAAATTCTACATTTGAAATAATCTCTAGGTCCTTCACCTTTGTTGGAGAAATAGGATTCATAACATTTAACCTTGGATAATTAAAAACTAAAGGATACAGTTTGAAACATTTTCCAGGTTAATACACGTGTGTGATAGAATGAATACCATGACGATTTTAGTTTCTTTTAGAGTAGATTTTTGTATCTTTACATCTTGATTATTATGGTCTTAGATATCAACAGTAGAGAAATGATTAATGAAAAAAACTATCCTAAAAAATCTAAGAAAGATAAAGTTTAATTAATTTGGAGTTCCATTTTTAATGTAAATATTTTGCCTAATATTTCATACTGACCTTCAGACTATATGGTCTTGAATTCATTATGTCTTACCTGTATTACAGGTCACCATATCATCAGCCAACCTCGTACAGGCCACGATTGTTGCTGTCTGGAGAACGAGGCTCAGGACAGACTTCTCACCTTGCTCCAGCACTTTTGCATACTCTAGAGAAGTTCTCTGTGCATAGGCTAGATCTCCCCGCACTTTATTCAGTTAGTGCCAAAACACCCGAAGAATCATGTGCACAGGTAGGTTTGTACCGTATCAAGGTGCTTCACTAAATCTTTTTTTTTTTTTTTTTTTTTTTTTTTTGGGGATTTTTTTTTTAGGGGACGTGGGCCCCC